CACGTGTGGTGCTCCCAGTGTACCTTTATCCAACAGAGGAGCAGGGAGGCTCCATCCTCGTCTGACCCTTTCCCTTGGATTGATGGATGCTTCTCAGCACATTAGCCTCAATTCTACTCCATCCTTCTCTCTGGCAACATCCATTCCTCTAAATTCAGTGGAGGTGGACCTGACCCTGCATATTTCTTGCCCTGATATTTTTCTCTCCACCGAACATTGTACTCTACCCCTTCTTTTAATCTACCCACGTTTTAAATACCTCTGTGTTTCCCCATGAAGTCTTTTCCTGCCCTCAAAACCAAAATAGTCTATTTCTTTCTCTAAACTCCTATTGTTTCATGAAGCCACATTTTCCCAAGGATATTTTTCTATATTTCAGCCTTCAATGTTTTAAATTGGCTTCCCCACCTGGGAAGTGGAGGTTGCGGTGAGCCAATTTCGTGCCACTGCACTCCAGCCTGGGCGACAGAGGAAGACTCCATCTCAAACAAAACAAAACAAAACAAAACAAAACAAAACACCCAAAAAATAAAAAGCAGAACACATCAAAAAGAAAGGGCAGAGACCAAACAACTAGTCAATTTTGGCTGTGAGTAAAGCAGTTAAATAGAGGAGCATAACGGTGACTTTTAGGCAACCAGGTGAGACCTGGAACATCCTTCCCTTTCACCTACACACCAACCTGACCTAAGTTCACAGACTTTGTAGAGTGACCTTATCTTCCCAAAAGATGTACTTGTATTCAGCATCTGAGGTCTCTCCACTACCCAATCTAGTTCCTGCTGCCAGAAAGCCTCGCCTCTTGGGTGGTGCATGAGAAGGCTCACCCTCCTCTACCATGCTCTCTTGCTGGCCCTCCAGTTCCAGGACCAGGTGTGACAGCAAGAGTGGAAGAGAGTCCTGCTCAGAAGGATTGCTGAGGCAGAGAACCAGCCCCGATCACCTATCTCCCAGTAAAGTGGAGAGTTCTTACTAAGGACCATCAGATGAGGAAAGGCAGCACCAGCCTGCACTAGCTTGTTGGGTTCTTTAATATTGGTAGGACTTTTGTGCACAGAGAAAAATCTCATCACTATTTACACTAAGTTTAAACCAGTTCTTGAGTATTAAATACTGATACAAAGGTGATTATTTAAATTCCCTTCAACTACATTGATGTCATACATTTAGTATGCCTGGTTGTTTTTAAACACATCTAACACCTTAAAGAATAGATAAACATATTCCTGAATGATGATCCCAAACTTATTCATTCATTATACCAAAAGTGATATAGAAGGGCCCATATTACGGATTTGATATCTTTTCTTGTTTGTTTTGATTTTACTCCTTCCTATGATTTTCTTGATCTTCTGAGATCCCAGATTACTAACCGAGATTGGAAGTCTAGGGTCAAACAGCTGATCCTTGATCAGGAAACAGTGCTTTGTATGTGTCTAAGATGAATTAAGATGAATCAAAGTTAGCCTACTTGTTATTTATTATCTGGTTGAGATTTTTTGTTGTTGTTGTAATAGAAATGTTTTTTGTGTGTGTGTGTCATGTCATGGCACTGTTCAATCCCTGTCTTTTATATACATTTTTATTCCAGAAACTTACCTTCCCCCAAATATGTTCTTAACTTTTTGCACAACTGTAAGTGTATGGTCAATTGTCTTATCATTATGATATATTGACTTGGTTCATTGGCATAATTAAAAGCATATTAACATATATTTTCTCACTAACATTTTATTAAAATGAGTATAGTTTATTATAACTAACAGAATTCATATGCTTGAAAGGATGGAGAATTGAGACAAACTCCTTCATTAAACATTGGTCTAATTAACCTTTTGGTGACCAGTAAGGGACCATTTGTCACGTTGGTTATTGGGCCTCATCCTCTATGGTCACCAGCTTCTGAGCTCTTCTTCTATCTGGTTACTAATTGAATCACTGATGCTCGTCAGTTTTTCCTGTTTTTGGCACAGTTTTAATTTTTCCTTGTTAAACTTTATTTTATTCTATCTTAATACAGTTATATATCACCAAAATAGAGTGAAATAAAGCTTAATGTAAAATATATATATTTAACACGTCTGCTTAAAGTTTCAAAAATTACGTATAGCAATGCTTTCCCACTTTTTAAAATTAAAGGACAAGTGAACATAGCCCATCAGATCTATCTTTCCTTTGAGCCAACAACCACTTTTTGCCTCTCATTGTAAACTTCTATGGTTTGAGAATCATTAGGAATGCATTGAACTTTTAAGTTTCAAACTATTCCAATTAACACTTACATCCTGTCAGGCATGGTGGCTCAAGCATGAAATCCTAGCACTATGGGAGGCTGAAGAGGGCAGATCACCTAAGCTCAAGAGTACAAGACCAATCTGGGCAACATGGTGAAACCCTGTCTCTCCAAAAAGTACAAAACATTAGCAGGGTGTGGTGGCACATGCCTGTAGTCCCAGCTACTCAAGAGGCTGAGGTAAGAGGATCATTCGAGCACAGGAGGTTAAGGCTGCAGTGAGCAGAGGTTGCACCATTGTATTCCAGCTCGGGTGGCTAAGTGAGACACTGTCTCAAACAACAACAACAGCAAGAAACCCAATTTTATTCATTTTTGCTATTTCGTTATTTCTCTATGATGCTCGAATAGTGCATTATTGGAATGCAAAGACCAGTTAACTCTATGTGGATCAGAATTCTCTATACAAAGGAACCGTACAATCCACCATATAAAAAAGCAAAAGGGAAAAAAAAGGAAAAGAAAAGAAAATTTAAAAGGTCAAACACACTAAGTTTAATGCTTGAACTTTATTTTGGAGAAAAAAATTTAGAAAGAGACAAGGTACACAGAGTGAAGTGTTTTTTCTTTTTCAGGACCTTGGATTGAATCTTGCACTGTTTTGGTTTCTATCTAGGAAGCTCGGCGACAGCAGAGTCTGGCGACTTGGCCACGTAAAATGCAAATCCTGGAGTAGGACTCAGGCCTGGAACAACGTCCGATTCGGCAATGGCAGATGATTCTCGCCCGAGAACCTGTGGAAAGAAGAGAGGGTCAGGCACAGTGAGGGAGGTGGGGAAAAGGACAGGCAGAGCCAGACTACCTGAGATAGTCTAAACAAGAGACACTGCATGAGTCATGTTAGGATGGAGAAAATTCATGTCTTTGTCGTAAATGACAAGAAATCGTACTACCTATGTGTTAGTCATGCAAGATCATAGTTCTTTCCCCATCTGAGTCCATCCAGGACATGTTTATTACCTGCTCCCTGGTAAAACAATATACCTCTCAACCACGGGGTTACCTACTCTTCATTCTGCTTAATCCATACCGCTAATCTTGACCTCCATGTATGATCTGCTTGTCCTAACAAGGCTCCCTAATGCACCTGCATCCGTTTCTGAGATGCTGCATTGTGCATGCTCATGTCATGGACTCAAGTACTTTGGTGCTCAAGGAGTCTTTGAAGACCTTCCAAATTCAAATTCTTCATTCTCTCTCCCCCCCCCTTTTTTAAAACATTTTACTTATGTACTTATTTTAATTGACAAATAATAATTGTGTATATGTATGAGACACAATATGATGTTTGGATCTAAGTATGTATTGTAGAAAGATTTAATGAAGTCTATTAGCCTACATTGAAACACACCCATAGGTTCCTCTCTAGGTTCTAAAATCTTTACCAATGGACAAAGTAAAATATTCTCTCCATAACCAAGTCTACCCATTCAGACCTGCAAATAACTAGTCAGTGTAGCTCTTTCTATATTAAAAGTAACAAATTTCACAGAAATATCTTGAAACTAAAAGTCTTAGAAGAAAGAAAATCTTTTAGATGTGTTCAGTTCTCACTGATTAATTCAGAGATAAGAAAATCAAGGTCCAGGAAGATTAAGTAAAGTCACTCAAGTGAGGTAGACTTTTCCACACTTGATGCCAGAGCCTGTTTCCAATCCTTTTGTTCTAGATTTTGCAGATCTG